GCATCGACACCGATATTCACACACTCAATGACTAAATCATCGAGTMCAGAGTTTGGGATTTCTTAACGACTTCGGAAGCGATAAATGGATTTATTTCGGCTTCGCTCGACTGTTGGTTTTTGAGYCAAAATGAGTTAAAGAATGTGCGCTGCTCACGACTTTGACGCCTTGGARTTGGTTCTTTTCCTTCTTGCAATTTACTGTAAATTGGGCGTTCCCAACTGCATTGTCAAAGGCAATGCTCGTCTAGGCTGGTTGGTGCGCCGTAAGACCTGCACTGCTTTGGCGTTGAACAATGTGGAGGTCGACGATAAGGCAAATTGCGCAAAGATTCTGGAGGTCATAAAGTCGCAGTACAATGACCGCCGGCATGAAATCCGTAAACACTGAGGTGGTGGTGTCCTGTGCTCTAAGAGTTTGGCTCGTATTGCGAAATTGGAATGTGCTAAGGCGTGTGAATTGGCACAAAAACTAAGCTAAGCAGCTTGTGGGTGTATTAGGTAAATRTTTTTTAATTATGGGATTTTGTTAAGCATAGGGATGTGAAGATAAAATAAAATGTTACATATTCAATTTGGCCAAAGTTTCTTACTTATTTTATTATATTAGTTATTTAATAAAATCTGGTGATGATTTTTAGTTTCTTGCCGAAATTCTGATAATTAGCGTTATAATGTAGTGATATTATCTTTTAATTTGATTATACTTGCGTATGTGATTTATACCAGATTTTTGTTCGATTCAATGCTCTCCTTKATTTTGTGTATATTAATTGCTGAGTGTGATCAACAAATATAACTTAAGAAAAATTGACTTATGCATAACAATCTTAAAAGGACCYCTCAAAAACAATTGATGCAAAAGTCGGTGTCCATAAAATTACTGAAAATCCGAACTTATTGTTTCGCTTGATGAGGAGTTTTGAGAAATTTCGCTCTCAGCTTGAAAGACGACAGACTATATTGTACGTATAAATTATATAATATTATACTTACCTTACTCTAATAAGGTGCTACTATAATAGGAAGGATGTGCCATCTGTCAACGTTCGCTTTTACGGCGAGTTTGAATCCAAATCATATTAAAACAAGTAAGGAAG